ACTAATAAGTAACAATGTTAGTATTATTAGCATGAAGAATGAAAATGAGATTAGCATCAACCTCAATGAGTGTGAAACGTTAATTGATGACTGCCCCCTATTTTTAAATGTTACATTTATGAATTTATCGTTACTTTGTCATAGTTTTTATTCATTCAATGATTCGTGTAGTTGTGAGCATCTTAAGTTCACAGCTAATGTCACTGATTATTGTACAGGTGAAGTGTTTGACTGGAAAAATGAATTGGAAGTATGCATTAATGACTCCACTGATTCTATGTGTGACACTGTAACTATTAGGCCAAAGTATAACGCATTTAATATTGATTACTATTGTGATAATAGTTGGGAATTATATGATGATCAAACTCACAGAAATTATCCTGAATTATATTATGAGTTATCCTCTTTTTGTTATGATAAGATTATCGGTACTGGCCCTCATACAATAACATTGTCTATTAGTACTATAGGACCAACAAAAGTCAGCACTTGTAAAACTGTGAATGTCACAAGCAAATGCCAAGAACCTTACAACATCATCGATGGATATTGTGGGCTATATCCAAAGTGTAATAATTCAGATCAAGAATATTGTCCTTATGCAATATATTGCTTCTCTGACGATTATGATGACGATGTTGATGATTGTTTTAATGGCATACCAGCATGTACATATTATAATGATAATATTTCGGTTGGGTTGTGTGCTATTTGTCCTTCTGGTAATGGAGTTCCTATAAATAAAATTAAACAATGTGTTAGCTGCCATCATTACTTATCAAGTATACTAGTTTTCATTGGAATAGAAATACTGCCTATGACACTCATTGTATTAATAATAATAGCATTTAATATACAATTAACTAATGGATCAATTAATGGATTAGTTTTCTATTCTCAAATAGTTTTTGTGATTTTTTCTGATTTTGTTCTACAAACTATGAATGACTATATCTATTTGTATGATCTCTTTGCCTCACCTTGCAGTGTCTTCAATTTAGACTTTACACCATTTCTTGGTAACTATTCATTATGTATTGCTCCTCACATGTCACCATTAGGAGCAATCTCCTTTTGGTATGTGGTAGGATTCTATCCATTGCTCCTCCTCCTCTTACTCTATGTTTGGATAACATTGTATGATAAAGGTTACAAGTGTGTAGTATTGGTTACTAGACCATTTCATCGTTGCATGGCTCGTTTCTGGAGTATGACTGGCATTGAGCCATTTTTTACTCACTCTATAGCATCAATATATATACTCTGCTTCACTCCGTTAGCTATCACTTCCTTTCAAATATTACGTTTTCGATTAAATGATAATGGCTTTTCATTCTTTTATGATGCAAAACAGCCTTATTTTGGTGGTATTTATCATATAATGGCTGGTATTTTTGCTATCTTAGTTTTATTGTTTGTGATACTCCTTCCTACACTTTATATGCTTCTTTATTCATTCAAATGGTTTCATAAGTTATTGGATTGCTTACACTTGAGGAAACAGCTACTGATATCACTGGGCGATGTGTTTACTGGTCCTTATAAGAATGGAACTAATGGCACGTATGACTATCGTTTCTTTGCTGCGTTATATTTATTATTGAAGATACTTATTATGCTTCTTCAGATTGAATTTCCTATTGAGCTTTTTGGCGGAACATTCTTAATGTTGTCAACAAT